TTAAATCAGGTAGAATATTACAGTTTGTAAAATAAAAATGGAATAAAAAGGAAATTATCATGGGGAAGTAGTTGATGTTTGCATTTACCATGCCTACATTATAAGACACCCATGCACCCACTAGGAAGCACTAATTACTTCCCGCCCTTTTTGCATGTTTTACATAAATTAATTGCAATTAACACTTGCATGCACAGACCACAAATATAGCAAAAAAAAATGGGCCAACTGCTTTGATTTCCTTCTTAATTAACTACAAACATTGAATTTATCACCCATTTATAATGAACTCATAAAAAAGACTATATAGCAGCCAAATCATCAGCTTCATGGTGTGTTTCTTTTAATATGGCTAGGGGTTGTCTAAATATTGTGTGTCCAATATCATACATAACTGGCCATAACATAGCGTGAAGAATTTTGTAGAATGAATTCATAAGATACAGGTAATTTATGTTTAAACTTGTTAATTAGTTACTGGTGTATCTCCTAAAGGGGTTGGATTTTTTTGTAATGTTTGCATGTCAATTAGCAGTAATGTCTTGCAGGCTCAATTAGCCTTAAACAGTCATTTAACAACAGAATAACAGATTTTTGTTAATCTATGCCTGGCGGTATGCAAACACCTTATAAAATGCATTTCTCATTTTGCTTCACCATACAATAAATGTAAGTTGATAATATTTTTTTTTTCAATTTATCATACCTAGTGAAATAAACCTAAAAAACAGAGCTTCCTCTTTTACTTTTTAAACACCTTTGTCTTTGGTTAGACACTTTAAATATCAGTGGTCATTGATAACATACATTAACTGTTTATCCTTGCTAAGACCAACAACAGAAATCATGAAGAAATCCATAACTTACAAGGGATCAGTGCTGTGGAACAAGCTTAGTAATGAATCCAGGAATTTATCATCCTTGGGAACCTTTAAAAACACTATTGATAAACAAGAATACTTAAGCGCTACAATGTTTGACTAATTTGCTTATCTAGAAACATTGCATGGTTCTTAAAATTGTAAATAATAACACTAACTTATTTGTATATTTCTTTTTTGTAAGCGTAATTTGAACTGTTAGGATATAAGTGCAGGACCCCATCAGCCTTTGCTGTAAATACATATCGTGTTGAAATAAATGCTATAATAATAATAATAATCAAGATTGCATTTTATTGTATATGTGTAAAGTCCAACTTAATTTTAGAGTCAATTTCAATGTTTGATAGTGCATTATTCTATCTGCACTTTAATACAATATCATAATCATCACACATATAAACAGCAGCATTAGCATGATATTGCACCATAATGTTAGGGCTATATTGTTACAATACTACATAATATAATTATTTGGTAATGGGTAGGTCAATACAATTTTATAGCTGGTTTATATTGCTATAGTCAAAAAGCCTAAATTTGCCAAAAAAAATATAATTACACAGGTATCACATATCCTGTCCCCATGTATCATATCATTTTAGTATGGTTGTTATTTTGAGATAGCTGTGACTATCTGGAACACCTGCGATGGCATTTTGTTATTAGAGAGTTTTAGGCTAGCAGTGACAACGAGAACGACTACGAGATTCGTCGAGATTCTGGCGCGTTGTTTACTTACGCTATCAGCCAAAACTCGTAGTCGTTTAAACTTGCTTTCGAGTACGAAATTTGGCAACAAACGTGTACTCAAAACCACGGCGACTACGATCTCAGCAGATATTTCAGCAGATATTTATTACTACAATGTATATCAATCGACCGTACTATAATGCACTTACCGATTACCGAAGTTTTTAAATACTGAGCAATTCGAGATACACGTATTAATTCTTCTAGATCTCATCTGTAATGGTCGTTACCAACCTCGCAAGCCAGGCTCTTTTACCTACGCTCCACGGCCCACGCTGCGGCAAAGACTCTGGTCAAGGCTGGTCACGTGATTCTTTTGTTACGCTTCTCCCGTGTGGGGATGGGTGGGACACAAGTAGCGCATAAATCATATCAGTTAGGGGTTCCAATACCAAATTTTTTTTCTGTCTATTGCCACTGTGGCATTCAATTCAAAGTATGTTCTTAGGTAGAGTCTCCTGACTTCAAAAATATATTTAGCGAAGTGATCGTTGCTATAGTTACCAAGATACCATACCCCCTATGATGAAATACAGGTAATTTTGTATGCATGATAACTAGAGAAGCATTTGTCACACAGATTTGAAATAATTTTTATTTCTCTACTACCAATAATAGCTAGGAGCTGTACCAAGATCATTACCCAAGGTTGCATAACAAAAAATTTATGCTGGTAACACCCAAAATGCACCTGTGCGACCCGTGCAACCATGCTGTAACTCGGTAACCGATAATCACAGATTAATGTTAAATCGTCAGGCTGGCTACGCCACTGGACGAGCCTGCGATATGTTTCTAATGAAAAATCTGCGGTAATACGCCAAAAAATTAAAGTGGCAGTCAAGTCCGTTTTGCGCACGCGCGTGTTTTGTTTACATCGTGAACTATATATAATATATATATATATAATATATATATATATATATATATATAATATATAATATATATAATATATTATATATATATTTTACATGAAGTTTGCCGCCTATTACTTCCGGTTTTCACGAAATTTGAGAATGTTGAAAATTGAGCGCATCTCTGTTATCAATTGCATGAAATTTGCCTACTATACGGTGTCGATTTCATATCTGATTTACTGACACTGTTGGACCGCCTTTTTTCTACACCGTTGAATCGGACAATATTTCTTGTAATATGGACGAAAGTTTGGACGTTGGGGATGCAGAGCGACTGCAAATTGAAGGGATTGCCCAAGTCGCTAACTTGGATGAGAATACAACGTGTTCCTGCAGTGGTATGTGCCTGCGCGAAAAAGGACGAAATGCTTGTCCATGCAAAACAGCGAGACAATATTGCAGTTTAGCGTGCCACGATGGACTATCGCTTACGTGTAGGATTTGCCGTCATTACATCGAGAGCGATTCAGATTCTTCTGAACAGTACGAGGTAGGAAAAGTTTTATTGGGTTCTTCGGCTTCTGGATTTTGTTAAATATTTATATATTTCCCTTTTGAATATTCCAGGACAATGAAAGCGAATTACAAGACGTGTCAAATGATCTGACTCCGTTCAAACAAGGTCGAGAGGTCGATCTACAAAACGTGCCAGAATTAGCAGAGATAGTAGGAGCGAGGATGAAGGACAGGGCACCGAAAATCGAGGCAGAGGTCGTGGAAGAGGTCGGGCAAGCGGTCGGGCAAGAGGTCGTGGAAGAGGTCGAGGAAGAGGTCGTGGAAGACGTCAGGCAAGAGGTCGAGAAAGTGGTAGGGGAAGAGGTCGAGGGAGATTAGTTGAAGAAGGCGACTCTCAACAACGAATTATGGCTCATGACCAACAACTGCAGGCATGTAAATGTTTTTTACATTGTCCTTTTAATCCCCGAGCCGGTGCGAAGCACCGGGCGAGGGTACTAATTCCGCCCGGAGATTTTGATTACGCCCGGGAATGCAAATGCGAAATGAAAGTTGTCCGCCATTATGTCATGGACGTTGGGCGTTTTTGTAAGTTATGCGCATGCGTGAGTTTAAGACGAGTTAAAACTGGTAACCAGCAAACGTTTGCAAGCGTGCGATTGGCTGAATTAAAATTTTGGTTCGCGTCAGCATAACTGATATTTTGAATTATACTTTTTAAAAAATATTTTTCATTTGGATGGTTTTGAAAATATACGGAAAAATTCACTCGTAAAAATGATTAAAATGTAAAGCAGATGATGCTTTCGGATAGAAAAACTTTGATTAAAATAGATGGTGAAAAATCTACGATTTTAAAGCATTTTTGGAGTGTTTTTGAACAGGTAAATAGGTAGATTTTGTATTTTAGCAAGCAAGTATTTCGTAAGTTTAACTTGTAGATTTATCAACAAACGTACGACACCTCTTTGAATTTATTCGTCAATTTCGTTAAAATGATTTTGATTGGGAAAGCATTTATTTTTAAAGGTCAATCTGTTTAAAAAGGAATTGAAATCTCGCTAAAAATTGTAGTATTTAAAACTATTCGTAGCACAATTTATAATGAATTACGATTATAGTTGAATGTGATAGCTCGAGAGTCGACTTTATAATGTACCAAGATATAGGATTTTACTTACACGGCTTCGATCATTCAGCAGAAACGAGTATTATAGAATTTCAGTGAGGGAAATATAAGTTTATTGCTTCAGGCGAGGGGACTTTGCATGCAATGTATTTCTAGTTATAGAGTAAAATTATAGAGTAAATAATTTTGCAATAAAATACAATTTCAGGACTTGGTTGCACAACTTGATGAGGCAGCAGTAAGAAGATTGGCATTGGAACTCCTGAGGAAACAGCCGGCAGCATTTGATGACTTGGTTGATGGAGAGTTGGCAAACCCAGCAGGTGAGCAAGCTCCACCACAGCCTAACCCCCCACCGGCAGATAGTCCAGACTGGTGCTTTTGTGGTTGTTGCGCCCCAATGCCAACACAAGAGGAAAATAAATGTTGCTGCCGTAGAGTAATGCCCTGTATTACAACCAGTCCACTTTTCCTCCAACTGGTTTTGGATGGCAATGTACTAGACATTGCTATGAGGTACAGAGAAGATGTACTTGTAGCTGACCATGCAAGAAACAATGAAAATTTTCGTCATGCTGCTTATCGACAGTACGTTTTATGGCAATATGGACGTCTAGGCCGAGGTAACAGAGTTGTTGTGCCAAGTTGCTGTGTATTGAAAATAAGAGCGAGGTATCCATCACCAAATGGATTGTATGTAGGATTCAGACCTGCTCGACTTTGAAGACTCAAAACAATACTGACATTTTGGCAAGTTAATGATGACATGTAATAATGTGTAATAAATTATTGACACTTCACTAGTGGCATGGTATGACCAGCGATGTTACTGGTTATGTAACTTTATTCATTTACTGTTAAGATGATAGATTTTTGAAAGCAACAATTTATAAGATATGCCTCCCCTCCCAATATTTAAATTCCCACAAATCATCTAAAATTACATATATAAATATGGTCCACGGATATGCAAATCAACTGTCGGTGCCACAAGTACGGTATTCCCTCATATCAAAACCTTGTTTGGTGTCGTCTCAGAAGCTCTTCCATCGGAGGCTGGGGTACCACAGCAATATTTTTGGCAATGTTCCTTGGGTCATCTGGAGCAAGACCTAATCGCTGTGTTACATGGCCAGGTGTAGCTCTTCGTTTTTCAAATATTGCAATGATTAACTCTGGCAAATATTTGTATTCCTTTGGCTCAAGGACTGCAACTGGGCACCATTGCTTTGTCCTTTTACTGTAGTGTGCTTTATATCTAGAATGCATTAAAAATTTTGATTAAATTATACCATTTTGAGTCGCATCAAAAGGTGGCATAATTCCTGGGTAGAATAGACAAAACATTTTAAGGGCCTTGAGCATCAGGTGAGTTAATATTATATTAACTCTTGTTATAGGTGACATTATAATTCACAACAGCAAATCAAGATGTTTAACCCAAATGTCAACTCATGTGAGAATATCCCTTGAATGACATGTCACATTAATGAAGAGGGGTACAATAAAACGAACCTTGGTTTTTCATCCAATGTCTTTGCAACTTGTCTTTTTCTATGTTTATTAAAATCAATTGCTGCCAGTTGATTTCGCATCTTATATCCAATTAACCTTAAAAATAAAAAAGCAATTTTTATATAGCCTAGGTTATTTCTTAACACACAAGTGCATGACCAGCCAGCCCATAGAATAAAATTTCAAGATAACTTACGTATATGATTGACGTTTTGCACAGTACATTAACAAATGGTTGTGGAAAGATTCCAGAAAACCTGTATGCCTGAAATATCAAAAAGTACATATACAAGTGCAAACTGAGAGGCATTGTATCACATTTGGGATATTATGTGGGCTATATCTTATTTTTGGCTACATCTCGAAAAACGCCTACTGGTTAAAAGATAACAACATCCAAGTACTAGTATTGCATTTATGTATCATAATAGTGGGTATCTGTATAGGAATTTGCTAAAAATGTAATTACCTAAACCTGGTGTAATATGGCAACTCATTTAATAGTCGCTTATTAAGGACAATGCTTCTCAAAGCTTTATGCGATGAAGAATCTTTTGCCAGCCATGGTTTTGCTCTTTCCTCTTCCGTTAAAACGTCATGGCCACATTTCCCATCTCCTATGCCATCCTTCAATGCCCATTCGTGTTCATTGACAATATGGAGAATCCCTATCCACAAATCCTATTAGAAAAAAAATTAATGAGATATGACATTAGATACGGTACAGGACAAATGGATAGTAAATAAACATAAATGCCAAAATTTGTGTCAGTCCTAAAGGGTAATACTGCAGCATGCACCATTTTATTAAATTTTATGAACACCAGCAAAAGGTTTAAAATTTTCAATTTGCAACATACTTTTAAATTATCAACATTGCCACCACAGTTGCGACTGGAATACCAAAAGTGGTTTCTCACAGACGCAATCCACAAAGAAAGATCTTCGTTTCCTTTTTCATTGGCAGCCTAGGTTAATAAGCATAACCTAATGTCTTAGTTACCAAGCACAATTCTGCACAACTATTTTGGATACTCCATTTGTTAAATGTGAATTAGAAATGAAAAAGAAAACAAGTTTATCAATCAAAAGGTGCACCATAAACTCATGCTTAATCATAGAAGTTCAATACATACAGAAATAACTTTTTTTCCAATAATTCTAGCACCATGCCAAACATCTCTTTGATGCACAATGTCTTTATACTTTGCAGCATTTTCTAAAAAACACACAGTTGGGAAATCAGCAATTTCCATACAATATTTATTTGAGCATCATGCTATACATTGTTGAAAACAATAGGGTGACATAAAAGATATAACCATGCAATCAAAGCAAAATTTATTAGCTAAAAGCATAGCAACAATCAAGTTGTAAAAATAAAACTCTGGCATGCAGTAATAGACCACCTAAAAGTTGTGAAGCATTAAAACTTGAATGTTTCAAGCAAACACCTTTTATCTGTAGGTCACAAGGAATTTGATGAGGTTTATAAACTATAAAGGAAACAATACAATGAAGAGTACTGAATAGTGAATACTTACTCATTAATGCACCAATTTCCAAATGGCCATCAGTAACAACCTCTTTGATAATCATTTTTGATTTCAATAAATTATCAAGCCCTCTTTCAAATCCAATTCTTTCCATGTTTGGACTTTTTCTTCCCTCAACTTCCCTCACTTCAACAAAGTTGATGTCTAAAATGCACTTAGAGTCCATTTCAGCAAATGTATAAGTGCAATACTGTGCACAATGTCCAGGTGAATCATTGCGCCCATCTGAACTAAGCACGATGTCTTGATTTTCACGCTCTGCCCAACATGAATTCCTTAATTCCTCCCAATAGCTGTTAACTGCTGGAGTTATATATAAATTCTGGTATTGGTTGTACAAGTTTTTGGATATAAACTGCACATTCATGACTTGGAAAAGAAATCCAATCTTTGTATATGAATTGCCAGAAAGAGGTATGGCAGATGCCAAAAGCAAATTTCCAGCACGAACACCTTCACAAGTTGGTTGGGCAGCCCATCTAAAATGAAGCATTGGTTCTTCAATTTTAGAAGTTTTCAAAATGATCAAGATACATGAATAATATAAATGTTGGTTTATCCATTAAAAGTACCACTTTTGTTAAAATTATCATTAATACCAAAAAATGAAACGCAAAGTTGGAAATAGACATACCTCCCACCAAAGTGGCCAGCAGAACAACCCCAATTTACAACTAGGCATGTTCCAACAAAGGAATTCCCAAAATTCAATGGACGATTACATCCACTTCTTGTACAAACAGGACCATGTAGCTTTTCCAGTAGTTCCAAAATTATTGCTGTTGATGCTAAGCATAACTCTAGTTTTGGAACATCAATGGATGGTATATGACGAACAAAACTTTCTTTGTTACTTTTTTGGGCTGTTTCAGTGTCAACACCACCAGTAACACCATCATCATCATCACCATCATCGTCACTGTGACCATTGATTGTGGTATCTAACACTTCTTCTTCCAAGGAGACCCTATCAATGTCATCAATTCCAACCCTATATACAAGTATATAAATGTCTATAGTCAAGTGCTATATTGGGTAGTCATTTCTTTACATTACATTAGAGCTTAAAAACCTGAATTCAAGCAGTTTGTAAACATACATTGGATGTCCTAGTGATATTTGACTATTGTCCTCCAATTCACTATCATCAGAATCAATGGCTAATAATGTTTCCTCATCATCTACAGTTTGTGTCCTACAATAGGCAACAGAGATAACAACATCTTTATATTCCTTTACAAAGAATTACTTACAATTCGGTAGTAATTATACATCGACATGACCTTTTATTATTGTTGTCATTAAAGGTACTTGGGTGTGGAGCATGTATGTATGATGTATCGTTAGTACATACATGTGCATGAATCAAAACACATTTGACATAAAATACCTTAGTGCGTCTGTGGACCCAAGTAACAGACGTCTCCGTTTAGTAGCGACGGGAGGCAAAGATGAATGCCGCCTTGTTTGAATACGCGAGGTCGATGATAAAACTAAAAGGGAAAATATAGTAAAGCATGGGTACCTATCTCCATTCATTTAAAGACGTCGTTTAAAGTGACATTAAATGTCGATATAAAACTTTACTTGGGCTAATGGCCATAGGCATTGCTGACAAATCCGCAGCGCTGTTTTCAAAGTTTGTCTGTGTCTCCGCGTCAGATTTAGAAGAACGTAATTTATGTATATGCGATTCAAATTATGAATAATTCAAATTTCTCACCTCGAAATACAGGCACCTTTTTCGTAATGACCTAAAAGCATTTCAGCCAGTTGTTTGTCTGTCTTCAAATTTAGCTCGTCTTTCAGACATCGCCAACGCTGATATTGCTCGTAAAGAGCTATTTTTGTCGAATCTCGCTTTGCGATGTAATCTTTGCGTTTCGTCTTTGTATCTTCACTGCTTGGGACGCTAAAATTCGCGGAGCTTTCGGCTCTGACATGTGAGGAGCTTTCGCACTCCTCCATGTTGAACGCTGTGTTTTCACTGTTTTGTCACAGCTTGCCACCTGACTAAATACGCATGCGTATGGGGATATAATTTCATTAAAATTCCTTTCTGTGGGCCCACAGAAAGGAATGTGCGTACATGCGCAGCACGGACTTGACAGCCACTTTAAAATCAGTTTGCCCTAATGTCTCATTTAGCCCCGCGGTGAATTCGGTCGAAAATTTGGTCTTGCTTTTTTTTGTTAAACCGTAAAAAGTCCTGACCACATTCAGGTTTCCCTCTAATGTATTTAAAAAATTATTCATAAATTATTATTAATAAATATTCCTAATAAATTAATATTAATAAATATTATTAATAAAACAAATTCATATATTTATGATGTTAACAGACTGTAAAGACAATTGATTTGAAAGGAAATTAATCCTGCATATCCGGAATATATGAATATGACCCTAAGACCCTAATTATCGTTCTGGCTATGTCACTGAACACCACATGTTTTAATTGGAAAGTAAGTTTCCATTGCATTGTGCAGTGCTGACAAACCCTAGGAGGATGCAAGGGAAAAGGGACAGGGATGCATATTTGAGAATTTTTGCAATGTCTGTTGCACTTCATTTTATTTTGTTTTTCTTTCAAGGTGATTTCAGTTTCACGTACTCTTCAGAACCATTTCCCTATAGGGATGGACAACAGGAGTTCCAACTGAATTTTTTGGAAAGAAACGTATTAAGTATTTTACATCATATGGATTATCATTGTAAAGTTTATTGAACATTTGTAGCAATTATAGATGTAATTGAACTATACTCAATCAAATTACAAAAGTTTGAGATTCCGAAAATTACTATTTTCGTCTTACAACTCATGTGTTAAGTTTAATGTAGAGATTTCATAGAATATGCATGTCATTAGTTATAGTACCTTAATTATCTATATAGTAAATAGTAGCATTTTGAAACATTTTTAATATTAGGTGTACGTTGGCTATATATTAAATTCCATAATGCAACATTAACAAAACCAACAAAAGTTAAATCACAATGGTTAAAACCAGGACAAGTGTGAAGGTTAAAAATGCGATCAATTTCCATTTGAACATGAGCTATGGATGGGTCTGAAAATTTATTGCAAAAATTTAAGGTCCATTCAGAACATTTGTAACCTGCACACTTGGAAAAGGAAAAAAAATTCTTGAGAAACTAAAAAAGAACAATTGTTTCAGCTGTTCAGGATGCATTTCAGTGCAATCGGCAGTGGATTGGCAGGCTCTGACCATATGCCTACAATCTTGGCAAAAATTATTGTGGACAGCGCGCACAAGTCAAAATACATGCTTTGCTCTATCACATTCTGTCAGAAACAGCATTTCGCATTCCCCCACTCCCCTTTTCAATGTTGAATGGTTAATACAATAGTTAAGGTATAGGTTTGTGAAGTGCATTATCAAAGTCAACATTGTACTGGGGTGCGGGGGTTCAAAAAATGCCAAGGTTTGCATAAGAACATTAATATTTTAGTTCTCCACTAGCTGTCCACATAATTTTTGCCTTGATTGTAGGTTTCCTATATATAA